TTTAATTTTTAGTGTGTTGATTTCTGGGATTTTTTTAATTATTTATTTATTTATTTTAAACTCATTAATAATTAATAATTTTTTATTTTAATTAATAATTTTTTAATTTTTTAATTATTTATTTCAATTTTGCATTCATTTTTTTTAGCTGATGTTTGTAAATCAGCTATGTTACATGCAACAATGCATGACATGCCAGTCAGAGTTGAAATCTGTTTTATAAAAAGAAATCGCCGCTAAAGTGTTTCAGACACAAGCATCAGTCAGTGAACATCCGCTGGCTTTAATAATCAAAGTCAAACGCTGACGTAGATCTGTGGTGTTCAAGCCTCGATGCCAAACATTCCTGTGATATCGACACGTTCCTCTCAATGTGAGGAAAGAACAAGCGAATATCACTCCGTCAGCTTTTCCTTCGCAGGGAAAAGTCTGCCATTGTTCGCCTCCGTGTTTCATCTCTGCTTTGTTTTGATTTTGAAGCTTGATTTTGTCCATGAGAAATGAGCTGAATGAATGCCACGTGTAGATGATGTTTGAGAGATTGATGAGCTCAAGATGGTTTTGTGTGTTTGCAGAGATCACGAGCACATCAGTGCCGCTAATGCTGTCGACGGCTGTCACCGAGAGCCGGATCACCGCCGCTCCTCCGGTCCTCTCCGTCACCGGTAATTACAGTCTGATAATGAGCTGTCTCACTGATCTGAGGCCAACACGAGACACCAGCAGTGCGAGGAAGAACCCAGCTGATCTCATTTTAATTCTACTTTTTAAAAAAAATAATATATTGAAAAATATTATTGATTTTTTTTCTGTTTTATTTTTATTTATTTTTTAAATTTAGTTGTTTAATTTTTAATGCTTTGTTTTTAATTTACATTTCTATGATTATTTTTATTATTTACTGGTTTATTATTATTATTTTTATATTATAGTGTTTGTTTTTACTGTTTGCATTTTTTTTTTTTTTTTTTTTTTGTCTTTTTATCCTCATTCCAAATGATCAGAAA